CTCTTCTCTTCATGGTAAGTATTAAGTGAGCAGATACTTTTATCCTGTTTAATGCCTTCTTCCTCTCAGACTTTCATTTTAGTCATTTATTTATTTACCTCAGTAGGAACATATGGTCTTGTTTTATTCAGCTTGTTACTTTTTTCCTCAACTTGTGCCAGATGTATCCGAGGAAGTCAAACTGGTTTCTATGTTTTCTTTTGTTCTGGGTTTGCCATAAGTTGCTATCGGTTTTTGATTTTTGCTTTAACTGGTTGCACAGCAGCATGGTATAGGCTCCTTTCATTCTTTTCCTGTTCTAGCTCTGAATGCAGTCATTTTACAAAGGAATGCTGGTTTTGGGTTTTGTTTTTGGTTTTAGATGAAAAATGGCCTTTACAACCCAAAATCTGGGCACTAAATACGCTCATTAATATTGGGATAGCTCTTCTCCCAGAACTAGGGTCTGTGTGAGACGTGCATGACGTTTATGTGTGGCTGTGCATACATGTACACATAACACTTTTACATCTATCTGTATTGCTGTGTCTATTTACACTGAAAACTTTACACACATGACTTTACACATATATGTCCAATTCCAGTCTACAACCAGAAGTCCGATTCAAGTTTTTTCTGTTTCTCTCTTGTAACTCCATTCTTCCAAGTGAGAATCCTGGCCCTCACTAACCTCATTACATTTTTCTCAGTCAGTCTTCTGGATTCTTTGCTGCAAACCCCCCTCTCACTCATTGTAGACACTTTCCTCACCTGCTTGGACCTTGTTATGGATTGAATGCTTGTGTCTCTCTGGAAGTCATATGTTTTAGCACTAACCCCAATGTGGTGGTGTCTGGAGGTGGGGCGTTTGGGAGGTAATTAGGTTTAGATGAGGTCATGAGGGTGGTGGCCGTGGGCTGAGATTAGTGCTCTTGTAGGAAGACACCAAAGCCTCTTCTCTTCTCTCTTCTGTTGTTTAAGGCACTCAGTTGATGGTATTTGGGACCAGCAGATGGCGTAATTGATGTGTCGTTGTACTCCCGTGTAGTTGACCATGGTTTGAGTCCCAGACCCAGTGGCTTAAACTCACACTGGGCCTATGTGCCCGTGTGCCCAAGATCCTGAGAGGAGAATGGAGGAGAAGGGATTGTAGTGTGGCCATCCCCCCTGGGGGGTAATTTCTAGCTTTCTGTCTCTCTTTCTGGCGAGTGGACGTGCCCTATAGCAAAAAAAAAACTTAAAAAAAAAAAGACACTCAGTTGATGGTATTTTTGTTAAGGCAGCCTGAGTCAGACTCTGCAGCCCCACACTGAGCTGCGTCCCTCCTGCCCACATTTCCCCTTTTCCCCCTCACCTGTCTTGAGGTCTGACACCCCTGCTGGGTGGTCTTCCTGGTTGGTGCCCTCCTCACCTGCTCTCACATCCATGTCAGGCTTGCTGTGCTTCCCCCACTGTTGCTTAGATGCCTATCTTGACCATCCCTACATAATTGACTGAACTTTTTTGGGAGGAGGAAGCCAGAGATGGGGTGGCAGTGCCACTTAGGAACTCAGTGATATCCCCTGAAGCAGTTGCAAGTGCCACCTACACGGTCATGTTTGAAATCATTGAGGTACCAAAAAGGACATTATGTATGTTAAAAGAAAAAAAAAAAAAACAAAAACAAACGTAGAACAAATCTTAACATGATATAAATCGGGCGGTTGTCCCTGGACTTCTGAACAACTCTGGCCAACCTCATGGTCATCTCAGCATTTAAGTTGGCTGAACAGGAACGTGTCATAGAAAATAAGTGAGGGAGCAAGGGGGAGAAATCGTTGGTTACATTCTGAAGTTCGTCTGCATTAACATGGCTAAAAGGTGGGATGCCTGTAAGTGACTGAAGCCTAGCTGTTGTGATTGGTTGTAACCTAGCCACCAGCTCAGAAAAACAGCCTAACATGTACGATTTTGACTTATCCATAGGAATCAAAGTGCGGGAGTACAGTGGCCAATTTAGGGCAGCATAGTTTAATTTAACAGTATCTTCATAGCAGTGGTCAGCAAGCTATGGCCCATGGACCAAGTCTAACACACAGCCTGTTTTGTTACACAGCCTGTGAGTTAAAAATGACTTTACATTTTTTTAAACATGTTCTCTTTTTTTGAACTATTTAATTTATTTATTATTATTTCTATTTTTAGTTTGCTATAGGGCATGTGCGCACACACATGCGAGAGAGAACGTGAGAAAGAAAGCTGCCAGGTTCAGGACGCAAACTGTGGTCAGCCACATGTGAGTCCAGCACCTCAACCACCATACCACCTGCTGGCTCCTATTTTACATTTTTTTAAAGGATTTTTCTAAATTTATTTTTAATACAAGGGCTGGTTCTGTGGCCTAGTGGTTCAGGGATTCCTCATGGCCCACTACAAGGCTCAAGTCCTGACCCCAGTGCTTGAGAAACACTTCAGGCATGCGTGCATGCCTACAATCCTGACAGGGAAGGGATTACTGTGTGACGATGTCCCATTGAGGGTGGTGATTTCGCCTCTCCTTTTTCATTCTGTGTGTCTCTGTCTCTCTGCAGTGAGCACACATGCACTCTGGCACACACATGAAAGAGGTAGAATATGAAACAGACCATATAAGGTCCACAGAGAACCTAAAATACTTCCTACCTGGCCTTTTACAGGAAGTTTGCTGACAGCTGCTTTAGAAGATGATTATTTCTTAAATATCACTGGACTTTTGACCCAACAGATTTAGGCTGTCTTCCCTGCAAACACAGGTTCTTTTTTTTTTTTTTTTTTTTTGAGAGTTTTTTGCTATAGGGCATGTGCGCTCACCAGACAAAGAAATACAGGGAGATAGAAAGCGAGAAATCCCCCCCCAAGGGGGATGGCCATGCCGCAATCCCTTCTCCTCCATTCTCCTCTCGGTATCTTGGGCACGCACGCACATGCACCCAGCGTGAGTTTAAGCCACCGAGTCCGGGACTCGAACCGTGGTCGACTGCGTGGGAGTCCAGCGACATAGCCATTACGCTAACTGCTGGTTCCCAAACACAGGTTCTTGATACTGCCAGTTGGTAATGCCAATTGAATGGGGCCCACTATACTGTGAAAAGGAACTAGCTCATAAGTAGTCTTAAGGTTTTTTTATGGCAAATTCAGAGCCTAACCAAGTCACACCTGAATACATGGTTTGCCCCCTGTACTTAGATGACACTCAAGCCTGCGGTCTGTACTTTCATGACACTGATTGAATGGCCTGCCATCTGCTCTTAAAAGGGAGTTGTAGTGGTCATTACTTCTGTTACAAAGTGAAGCACATTTCAGCTTCTTAGGGTCATTTCTGCATATACTTTTATCTCTTCTATACTTAAAAAAAAAAAATTATCAGAAGGTACATGGACTTGCCAGAAAGATACAGAGATGGAAAGGTGGGAAGCACCTCCCAGTGGGGCATGATCATGCTTCAGTCTTGTCTCCATTTCTCCATCCTGTTGGGATTTTTGGACACATTTGCACATGTGCCTGGTATATTTTTCTTGCTGTTGGGCTGGGAATTGAACCACTGTTGGCCATGTGGGATCCAGTTCCCTTAACTTCTAGGCCATGGGGCCAGCTTTCACATGTATACTTTGATGTCTGGTGGACAGCGGCTGCATTTTATTCTTTATTGCCAGACCTGAGTAATTTGTATTGGGTTGTTGGAAAAGTCATGACACTTTTTTTTTTTTTTTTTTTTCTTTATGGTGCAGGTACTCACTGGAGAGAGACAGAGAGGCAGAAAGTGAGAAGTCGCCCCCCCCTCCCCCATGGGAGATGGCCATGCCACAATCCCTTCTCCTCCATTCTCCTCTTGGGATTTTGGGCACACACATACACGTGCCTGGCATGAGTTTTAAGCCACTGGGTCTGGGACTTGAAACGTGGTCAACTTTGTGGGAGTCCAGTGATGTATTCATTATGTGGTCTGCTGGTCCAGTCATGACATATTTTTGCATAGAAAAACAGAAAAAATACTTCATGGCTTTTCTGACAACCCAATATTTATTATAAAGTCTTTTCAGACCTGGTATTCATACCTCACTGTATTGTTTTCTTCATTAATTCTTTTTATTCCTAAAATTATTCTTTTTTCTTTTTCTTTTTGAGAGGCTTTTGCTACAGGGCGCATGCACTCGCCAGAGAAACAGAGAGACGGAAAGCAAGAAATCATCCCCCAGGGAGGATGGTCACGCCGCAATCCCTTCTCCTTACTCCTCTCGGGATCTTGGGCACGCATGCACACGTGCCTAGTGTGAGTTTAAGCCACCGGGTCCAGGATTTGAACTGCGGTCAACTACATGGGAGTTCAGCAACATAGCCATTATGTCAACTGCTCGGTCTCCTAAAATTATTCTTAAAAGGAAGTTCTTCTGTTGTATTTTTTCTTTCACTTAATCCTGGTCTCTTCAAAAATCCTATATACCAAATAACAGTACTGTGCTCTGACTTACTACTGTAAGATAAAAGGTGGTTGCCATGCTGGTCTTGGAAGCGAGAACAAAAGCCACTATTTTTTTTTTTTTTTCGGAGAGGTTTTTGCTATAGGGCGTGTGTGCTCGCCAGAAAGAGAGAGACAGAGACAGAAAGCGAGAAATCACCCCCCGAGGGGATGGCCATGCCGCAATTCCTTCTCCTCCATTCTACTCTCGGGATCTTGGGCAAACACGCACACGTGCCCGGCGTGAGTTTAAGCCACCGGGTCCAGGACTCGAACCATGGTCGACTACGTGGGAGTCCATCGACATAGCCATTACACTAACTGCTGGTCCCAGAACAAAAACCACTTTTTGTTGTGGTGACAGTGAAGGGTACTGCTCTAAATCTAGTGTAAATTGTTTTCCTTTACGATCGGATTGCTGCTTTTCTGGGGTAATGACTTTAGGTCCTCTATTGAAGAGGAATAGAGAAACCCTTTACCATTTTTGTTTCTTTCATTATGTGATTTTCATCAATGAAAAGTAATTTGTTTTATTTGTAATTGCTAGAGAGACCGAAGAAGGAAATATGTCCATGGATGTTTCCATTATGCCATCCTCAGTCCAGATGAAAACTCCCACAGGCTGCACAGAGATCCAGCTTCCAGCAGAGGTCAGGCTTGTACCTGCCTCATGCCGAGGGCTGCAGTATGTCCCTGGAGATGGACTGCACCTGCGACTACAGGCGCAGACAGAATTCAGCACCAGTGAGTAGAATGAGCACTCTGTTGCAGGTCAAAGTGATTTTTCTTTCAATAAGTTGATCTTTGTCAGGTGAAAAACCTGCTGGACAGAAGTCTGGCAAGAGTTGGGAGTTGAGAAGATCTGGGGTCTGTCAGTTTGGTCAGTTACTACCTGTGTGTAATTGGACATGTCACTTAACCTCTCCGAGATGTCATTGGTTTCTTCTTCTCCTTTTTTCAGTTGTTGTTTTTTATATAGACTTTATTTTAGAGCACTTTTTGATTCACAGGAAAGTTGAGCAGAAGGTACAGAGATTTTAGGTCATCAGGAAAGTCATGACTTATTTCTGTATGCAAAAATGTGTCATGACTTTCCAGACAACCCGGTATAATTAAGGAAAGAAAAATATCCCCACTTTGTTTCCTTAATTATAAAATTTCCTGGCTGACAGATATGGTACAAAAATCAAATCGCATGGCAATTGTGCAAATCCTGGTTGATTTTTAAAGAATTACATAGGAATGTATTCATTGCACAAATAATTTAGCTCATATTGTGTGCTAGGGATTAATCTAGGTGCTGGGGATCCAGAAGTGAGTACACTAGGGATAGCCCTGCTCTCTTGGAGCTTCATGGAAATGGGTGGGAACAGATAGGGAATGTGTAATTGCATACTAAGAAGAGTGCTCTGCATAAAGCAGAACATAATGGGATAGGAGTGACTAGGATTGGGTGAAGGGTGTGTGGTCTGAGCAGGCCATTCAGAGGAGGCCTTGATCAGAGAACTGGATGATGGAAATTATCCTGTCCATATAGAGACAGTACCAGAAAGAGAAGCTAGTACATATAAAGATCCTGAAGTTGAGTTCGATGTGTAGTTTGAGTGAGAGAGATGGGATGGGGAGTATGCTGGAGAGCAGGGGTGAGAGAGAGAAGCATCCTGCCTAGGTTCTGGTCACACTGCAGTTCCCTTCCTCCAGGTCCTCCAACCTGTCACACCCTGGGCACTCAAGCACATGCCCAACATATTTCAGGCCAACCAGCCCAGGGATTCGAACCAAGGTTGCCATGTGGGACCCAGCTTCTCTTGGGTAGTGTATTTTTGCTGCATCCTAGAGCCAGCCCAGTTACTTGAGTTTGATCGTTATTCCTGTTATATGTGCAATATGTTGTAATTGGTATATTGATTCAGTAAGGCAAGAGGAAAAAAGTTTTAAGACCTCAGGATTGCTTATTGAATAAAATTTATCAGTTCACTGCATCTCTTACAATGTAAATAATATACTTTGGGGGATTAACATTATGTAAAAGGGGCTGTAGAGACTACGGAAGTCTGATGTCAGAAAAAGGTTACAATTCTTTCCACTGTAGCCGGAGACTTGATTGCTGATAATCTATGTCATTTATCTGAGCTGTGTGGAGCCTTCAGGTGGGGTTAGCCCCTGAATGAAGACTCATTCCGGAGATAGCAAGCTTTCCCTTGAGTGTATATTCCTGGCTATTGAAAGAAAAAGAGAGGACTTTCACTTTCATTGTTGGAGAGTAATTTTTGCTAAGGTCTTAGGTTAGTGAATACGTAGTTTGAGTTGGGCAGGGTTGGTTTCAAAAAGAAGAGGTAGGGGAAGGAG